CCCCCCCCCCCGAGGATCTTAACGAGCGTGTGGGGTCATAGTAGGGGAAGTGGAACCATTGAGAGCTTTGTAGGTGATGACCTGCACCTTGAATTGGGACTGGAATCTTATCAGCAGCCAGTGGAGCTGTTTGACCAGGGGGTTGACCGCTCCCTGTAATTTGCTCCAGTTAACAACCTGGCCGCCGACCTTCGCACCTGCTGCAGTTTCTGGGCGTCTTCAAGGGCAGCCCCACGTAGAGCACCTTGCAGCAATCCAATCTAGAGGTAACTGAGGCATGGACCACCGGGGCCAGATCAGACTGAACTGTGCAAAGAATGCCCTCCCAGCCACCGCTGACACCTGAGCATCAAGCGCCAGCGGTGAGTCCAGAAGGAACCTGACTGCGGACAGGTTGCCGCCCTCGACCCCAACCGGCCAGGCGACTGACCAGGAGGACCTCTGTCTTGTCAGGATTTCGCTTCAGCTTGTTGGCCCTCATCCAGCCCATCACAGCGGCCAGGCACCGGTCCAGGATCCGAGGGGCTTCCTGGGAATTAGAGTTGGTGTCGTCCGCCTGGAGATGGCACCGAACTCCAAACCTCCCGGTGCCCTCGCCCAGCCGTTCCATGTAGGTGTTGAAAAGCCCGCGGGAAAGGACCTTGGGACCCCACAGGGCAAATTGGGCCAGGGGTCCGAGCAGGGGTCCCCCAGCTTGACCGACCAGGTGTGGCCCTCCAGGAAGGAGCGGAGCCACGTCAACGCAGCGCCCACAAGGCCCGTTCCGGAGAGCCGGCCCAGAAGGAGAGCGTGGTCAGCGGTGGCGAATTATTCATAGATATATTCACAAAAAATACTTAGAAAAATGCTTTACAGACCATTCAATCATAGAAATAATCTCAGTAATATTCCCACAACAATATTCATAAGAATATTTAGAAAAATATTCACAAAGGGTAATTATAGAAATTATCACATAAATATTCATAAGAACATTTAGAAAAATATTTAGAAAAATGTCCATAAAGTATAATGAAATTATCACAGAAATATTCCTGCAAAAAATATTCATAAGAATATTTAGAAAAAATATTCACAAAGGGTAATCATAGAAATTATCGCAGGAATATTCGTAAAAATATTTAGAAAAATAGTAAGTTCTTGTGGGTCTTTTGGGGCTATATGGCCATGTTCTAGAGGCCATATTCCGGCCATGAAAGCCTTCGACAATACATTTAGAAAAATATTTAGAAAAATGTCCACAACGTATAATCACAGAAATATCCCCCCAAAAAATCGCATAAATATTCATAAAAATACTTAGAAAAATACAAAATATTTGCAGAAATACTCACAAAACTAATTTCAGAAATAATAATAATAAACATTCATTAAATTATTCTCAAAAATAATCATAAAAATGTCCACAAAAAACTTAGCAGACATATTCACAATAATTAATAATAATAATAATAATAATAATAATAATAAATATATTTCAGTAAAATATTCACAAAAATATTTTCAGAAATATTCACAAGAATATTCTCAAAATTAACCACAAAATTATTTGCAGAAATATTCACAAAAAATAATCATAAAAATAATCATGGAAATGTTCACAGAAGTAGTCACAAAAATAATCAATAAAATATTCACAAAAATCTGAAAAATGTTTGCAGAAATATTCACAAAAATAATTTCAGAAATAATAAAAATATTCATGTAAATATTTGCAAAAATATTCATTAAAATACTCAAAAATATTTTCAGAAACAATCAAAAATATCCATTAAAATATTGCAGAAATAGACCAAAACATCTGGAGGGAAGCCCAGAGTTGTCCCAGGCCTGTTCTGTTGCACACGGCGACACTGGATTAATCTGTGACTACGCAGCTGCTGTGTCCGTCCATGTGACCCTCACGTGAAGCCCCTTGGGATAGAATTCATATATTTTTCCTGCACAGCCTTCCATGGGGTCCCTTCTGTCCTATAGATATATATATATATATATATGGTAGTATCACTGACTTTGGTGGAAGGAAGCCAGCCTTCAGGCGGTGGAAATGGTCCCTTCTTCCTCGGACGATATATATTGCATTAAATACAATCACCTCTTCCTCTTCCATCCCAGAAAATATGCCAGTCCAGTAATATTTGCACGTCCTTCAGTTTTAGAGCCAATGTATGTCGTCGTGTGTTTGATGCCAAGTAAAGATGAGTTTCACAATCAAAACCGGGTCGACTCCTTTCTGACCGAATATTTTTATCAGTGTCTTTGGGAATATTTTATGACTATTTTGTGAATATTTTTAATGATTATTCATGAATGTTTCTGGGAATACTTTGAATGATTATTTTTAGTATCTTTCTGAATATTTCAGTGAAAATTTTTACTGATTACTTTTGTGGATATTTCTGTGAACATTTTATTGATTATTTTTGTGAATATTTTAATGATTATTTTCGTTATTAATTTAAAGCTTATATTTGTGAATATTTTAATGATTCTTTTTAAATATTTCTGTGAATTTTTAAATTATTTTTGTGAAGATTTTATTGATTATGTTGTGAATATTTTATTTATGAATATTTTAATGAATATTTTATTGATTTTTATGAATTATTCTGTGAATATTTTTAATGAGTATTTTGGTTAATATATCTGTAAGTATTTCTGTAAATATTTTTAAAGTTGTTTTTGTGGCTATTTCTATGCATATTATATTGATCATTTTTATGAATATCTCTGTGAATATCTTTGTAAATATTTCTGGGAATGCCTTCAATGACTATTTCTGTGGCTAGTTCTATGAATATTTTATTGACTATTTCTGTGAATATTTTACTGATTATTTTATTGATTATTTTGTTATTATTTCTGTGATTATTTTGTGATTATTTCTGTGAATATTTGTGAATATTTTATTGATTATTTCTGTGAAATTATTAATATTTCATATTATTATATTACGTTGGAGGGCAGGCCCAGGGCAAGCTCTTCCCCATTATTTATTTATTTATTTATTTAGCGATCAATTTCATATCCCGCCACTCCCCGAAGGCTCGGAGTGGTTTACAACATACATATGTGATATATTACATTGAAATTCAAAGAAAATTTTCAATCAGTAAGATTCAAATGCCAGCCCAAATAAATAAGTTTTACAAGCTCTACAAAAAGATAGTAAGTCTCGGAGAGCTCGTGTTTCCGCTGGCAAGGCGTATTCCACAGGTAAGGAGCCACCACCATGAATGCTCTGCGCCTAGTAGATATCAGGTGAAAGGTCCTAAACCCTAAACATGACCAACAGAACACACTGGAAGGGTTTGGTGGGCATTGACCTTGAGTTTGGGAGTTGTAGTTCACCTACATCCAGAGAGCACTGTGGACTCAAACAATGATGATTCATGTAGGAACCAATGACACTGCAAGGCATACGTTTCAAAAGATCACAAATGATTTTCGAGCTCTAGGAGCAAAGCTAAAAGAATGTAATGTACAGGTGGTCTTTTCATCCCTCCTCCCTGTTGTAAGACACGGACCCACAAGAGCCAGAAAAATAGTACAGGTCAATGACTGGCTTAGAAAATGGTGTCAGGAGGAACACTTTGGCTTCCTCGACCATGGCCTGCTTTTCCAGGAGGATGGCCTACTGGCAAGGGATGGGGTGCATCTCACACAAGTAGGAAAACACCTTTTTGCTCACAGACTCGCAAACCTCATTAGACGCACTTTAAACTAGGTCCACCGGGGGAGGGGGACAACAGCCTTGCGAACACTACTTTACCCATAATGTCTGGGAATCGCCAGAAGGCTAAACGGAGGGCTGCACAAACACAACAAGGACCAAGTACCAAAAGCACAATAATCCCAATTAAACAGCTCAAGGGAAGATCTCAGGGGCTCACATGTCTTTACACTAATTCACAGAGCATGGGAAATAAACAAGACGAACTCCAACTTTTAGCA